GGTTAGAAATTAGGTTAGCATATAGTAAAATCGCTCAAGGAAATTTTTTTGTTAGAACACAAAAGGTGGTTTCATACATAGTTTTTCGAGAAATAAGCAATTTTTGACAAAACGACCGTTTGTTTTGAAAATTTCTGCTCGTGTTACATTACACCTGATCTTGGAATATAATTGGTTGCACTACACTAAAATCACGTGCCGGTGAAAATTTTGGTCAAATATTCTACGGACAGAGCTTAGGGACAGAGCAGAATCATGTGATTAGTTAATTAGCGGTTAGGGACAGAGCAGGGGGACCGTCTACGGACATGTACCAATTGCACGTACCGAACTTTAGGGTTAGTATATTAGCACGTGATAGGTTTTAGATTTATAATAGGTCGCGAAATCTACGGACAGTGCTTAGGGACAGTGCAGTCACGTGATATATAATCACGTGACAATCGATTAAGTTACTATAAAAAAAATAGCCTCTCTAAGCACTCAATAGCGATAGGGACTAAACTTGTATAACATGCATTTAGGAACAATATTTATGAATATTAATTAAAAAATTTTGCCGAATTTGTTGCTAAGCTATCTTTATTTGAAGTTCTAATTAAGTATATATTCTGAGCGCATTTAAAAAGATTTCACTGTAATAAATCCTTCACTTATGAACGTTAGTACAATTAGTATTTTAACACAATAGTAATTACGCATATTAATAAAAAACTGTTTCAATGCTGTATATAAATCGGTAAAACTGACCCCACATACAATATGTAACGATCACAGCTTATAAATGCCCTGAAACATGCATGATAATATATTTCACAGAAATCATCACGAAATGACGAATAAACATGGTTTCAAAAAAAAATATATAAGTTATATTAATAAACTTAACTGGGAAAGTTAATGTTCTAGTGTCATTTAGAGTGAAGTAAATTATAAGATCGACGCATTTATGTTTTACTTATATAAAGAAAAATAATTAGTCTGTTTCTTTATATTCAAATAAAAATATTAAAAATAGCTTACCATTTTTAATAAGCATAATTCAAAGTCATCAAATTAGGCAGAAAAGTTTTTTTTTGTTGCAAATTATAAAAAGTATATAAATGAAAAAATGTTGTATTTGCGAAAGGTTATTTTTTTCTTGCTGCTTAATGATTCCTCAATTACAGTAAACGTAGATTAATTAATTCGTAATAACTAGATAATTGGTGATTTGTATTTTGTGCTTGTAATAACACATTGTGTCATGCAGATAGTGACAAAGCCTATAAAATATATCAAAATAAAGTCAATTTATAATAATAATAAAAAGTACAAAGAAACAGCTCCAATTATAAAAAATTATTTTATCAAACGATCAATCATGTCACAATCAGGACCACAAATTCCAGAACTTGGTAGTGAATTCCTGACAGTAGAGAAATTCAAAGAAGCTGCTCAGCAAGGTGCTAAGGCAGCAGGCTTTGCTTTCAGTGTATCATCATCAAAAATGTCGCGTGTTGAGAAAGATGGTTGTACTCCCTTTGTTACCCTACAATGTGTAATGGGAGGAAAATACAGAAATAATCATGAAATTACTGAAGAAACTAGAAAAAGAGTGAAGTTTACAAAACGTCAAAGCTGCCTTGTTAGTTTAAGAGCTACTTTAAATGAAAATACTGGTGTTTGGGTAGTATCCTCTTATAAAAGTCAACATAATCACGAACCTCTTTCTTCAACACAAGTACATTGCCTTCATCAACATCAGGTTTTTAACAAAGAGCAAAAAGAACTAGTTCATCTTATGCTTAAAAGTGGTGCATCAACCCAATCAATCGCTGATGCAGTGCATTGGAAAGATGAAATTGCATATACAAAGAATATTATAAATGAGCGTGATAGAATTAAAAATGCTTTAAATGAAGGCTCTAATTATGATACTACTATGAGGCTTCTAAAAATGTTAGAAGAACGTCAGTATATAATCCGGCACTAATTAGCAAAAGATAGATCTATGCAAAACTTATTCTTTATGCACATTGAGGCAGCACGTCAAGTGGCTAAATGTCCAGAGGTACTTATAGTGGACGCAACCTATAAGACAAACCTATACAAGCTTCCTCTTATTAATGCCGTTGGTGTTAGCAATGTTGGTAATACTAAAGCTCTTAATACCTACCAAATTGCGATGGCTTGGGTTGCAAATGAACAGGAATACACATATACGTGGTTTTTACAAACCTTAAAAGAGACAATTTATGATATTTTCTCTTGTTATCTGGAAGTATTCGTTTCAGACAGAGATCTAGCCCTTTGAAAAGCATCAAATAATGTATTTCCAACAGCCAAAAAAATGTTTTGTATTTGGCATATGCTTGCACAGAATCTACGAACTACGTGCAGAAAGTTTTTTGATTCTGACGAAGACTATAATGAATTTCTATTATCTGTTCAAAAAGTTGCTTATTCTGAAGAGATGAATGAAGTTAAAAAGGCATTTGATAAGGTTAAAAAAACAACAGCTAAAAGTAGAAATCCAAATTATATTCAAAGTTATTTAGAAGAATGGAAAAAAGATGCTGATCATTGGATATGTGTATATACAAAAAATTATCCACATATGGGCATACAATCTACACAATGAGCTGAAGGAAGCCATAGTGGATTGAAAAAGGCAATAGAGGCGGCAAGTGGTTTAGAGCAGGTTTTTTCACATATTGATCGTGCCTTTCGTCAACATAAATTACAAACAAATAGAGCTTTGGGATTAAATATTATTTCTGCAGATCCATTTATTCTTAATAATAAAAGGTTCGAACAGCTACTTGGAAAAATTTCTAAGTGGACAATTAATAAAATAAAAAAGGAAATATGTGAAATTAAAGAAAACGACAATAATGAAAAAAATAATCATTGTGAATGTAGTTTAAGATTAAATTTTAAATTACCATGCTGTCATATAATTCCACATACAGGCTCTATTCTACTTTCAATTGTGCATCCCCGTTGGTATCTAAATAATGATTCAGTGCCTCTATTGTCTTCTTCATCCCAGTCAATTGATATAGCCGTTAATAAGGCTTTATACAAACTTGAAGAAAAATACAAAACCTTAAGTGACAGTGGATCCAAAGCTACACTTTTACAAAAAATTGAAGCTCTAGCTATTGAAGAGAATATAATTCCAAAGGCACCATTACGAGTTATATCTATAGGGCGACCAACATCTACTAAACATGATCTTTTTTTAAGTGAACACCAAGATAAAATTGCAGCAACAAAAGAAAAAAATACAAAGGTGTCAATGTCAAAACTTATAAAAAATTCACAAGCACAACGATTTTTATATCACGACCAAATACCTGTTTATATGCATGAATTTATAAAAGAGGTGATCGATATGGATAAAGATGATAATTGTAGATATAGAGCACTGGCAGTAAGTTTAGAAAGGAATGAAAATAAATGGTCAGAGGTAAGAAAAGAATTGAAAAATGAATTAAATGAAAGAGAACAATTTTACCGGACATTATTTTTAGCTAATGACGACTATGAAATAATTAAAAAAGAGATTTCTTGGTTAGATGGCCCTTGTACATTTGAATACTGGATGAGAATGCCACAAATGGGAGATGTTATAGCAAGCACTTACCAAAGACCATTATATTTTTTTTCATTACAAGTAAATCTTACTTTTCTTTCACATCACCAACTATTAAACCGAAATGGAGCTCTTGCAATTGGTTTTGTTAATAGCAATCATTATGTAGCAATTGTTTTAAAGCCTGGTGCTCCTGTACCTCCAATTGTTAATCGATAATCACAATTCGCTACTTCAGCAGCATCATGATGGATGCAGTTGATTCAATATCGCATTGATAAGTTTCTTTCAATAAGTAATTAAGCTGACAAAAAAGTTTAAATAAGAATAATAATATGATGGTGGCTATTTAAAAACAATTAAGCAAATTTAAGAATACTTCCGTATGTGTTATCAAACTTATTGTACTTAAAAAAAATTTCTATATGCATAATTATAGTTTTACGTTGTGATAATTTTTCAAAAAGCCTGTATAATGTTTTATATAGATCAAGAATAATATTAAAAAACAAAGTACTTAAATGAAGTCTTTCTAGTTATAATACAATTTTAACGATATATAAAAATTAAGCATTATATATTTGGGTATTTGTAATAACGATAATTTGTACAAGAGAGAGATGATCAAATTGCAATCTAATATTTATACGTATTACGATTTTGTATATTATATGATGTTATAATCACGTGACTGCACTGTCCCTAAGCACTGTCCGTAGATTTCGCGCCCTAAATTGCCACCAAAATTTTCACCGGCATGTGATTTTAGTGTGGTGCAACCAATTATATTCCAAGATCAGATGTAAGGTAACACGAGCAGAAAATTTTAAAACAAATGGTCGTTTTGTCAAAAATCGCTTATTTCTCGAAAAACTGTGTATGAAACCACCTTTTGTGTTCTAACAAAAAATTTTCCTTGAGCAATTTTACTATATGCCAATCTAATTTCTAACCCTAATATAAGCTCTAACCAAGCATAAACAAACTTTAAATTTTTTTCGATGTTGTACACATGATTATGTGCTGATGAAAATTTTGGTGGTGATCTAGGAGAAGATACGTTATCTGCACAGCAAATGATTGACACAAGTATATCAATATTCTTAAAATTTTGAATGAAGGATACCTTGACAATCATCAAAGCAAATTCGATGAATTTTTTTTTATTTTAAATTTAAAGGCTTGTAGAATTAAAATAACAAAAAGTTTATCGAATTTGCTTTGATGGTTGTCGAGATATCTTCATTCAAAATTTGGTAAAGAATTAAAACATCTATTAAATAGAGATAAAAATTTTAATTTTGAACAAAAATATCTCGACAACAACCAAAGCAAATTCAATAAACTTATTTTTTTTTTAATTCTATCAACTTGTAGAGTTAAAATAAAAAAAAAAGATATATTTGGCTTAGGAGTTTGTCGAGATCTCTTCATTCAAAGTTTGGTAAAAACTAAAATGTTTGTTAAATAGAAGCAGAATAATTTTTTTAGAAACTTTGAGCGAAAATATCTCTAAAAAAAGTCCAGCGAATTTTCTTAAGTGTTTTTAAGGATATTTTTATTCAAAGTTTCTAAAATTTCCTTGCTTCTATTTAATAAGCATTTTAGTTTTTACCAAATTTTGAACGAAGATATCTTGACAATTACCTAAGCAAAATCGATAATCTTTTTGCTATTTTAATTTTACAATTCTGTAGAATTAAAAAAAGATTGGTTTATTGAATTTGCTTTGATGGCTGTCGAGATACCTTCATTCAAAGTCAAAATTTTCTATCTCTACTTAATAGATAACTTAATTCTTTACCAAGCTTTGAACGAAGATATTTCGACAACTATTAAAGCAAATTTGATGAAATTTGTTATTTTAATTCTACAAGCCTTTAAATACAAAATAAAAAAAAATTCATCAAATTTGCTTTGATGGTTGTCAAGATATCTTCGTTCAAAGTTTTAAAAAGATTGATGTACTCATGTTGATCATTTGCTGTGTCGATAACATAGATAAGTCACGTGCATGCTGTGTCGGTATAATTTCCCATTTAGTAATAGTTAAGTGAACATATCACATTAATCACGTGTAATATAATTTATTGGTTAGTTTATCAAAACATGTGATTTGTTTATATACACATGACCAGTGTTTAAAATTCGATGTTCTTATAGTTCTCAAAGAATATACAATTTTTTTAAAGAAACATTTATATTTAAAATAAAGTTCTCTTATTTGCGAACATTTTAATCTTTCAAAATGTTCTCAAAAAAAAAAAATCAATATAATTCAACATAATGAACTAGAGCTCCAAAAGGGTTATTCAATTCAAGTTTAGGTTCGACTTGAACCCAAATTGGTTGTATTTTGGTATCTATAAATTTGTATCATATACTGTATAATTCTATTATTATAAAATTATTTTATAAAATTAGGTAATACTACAATAATTATAATTTGACTCAAGTAGGCATAGAGTCTTGAGGTTGGTTTTTAATTTGAGTTATCAGAATCATTACAACCTTTTAAAAGCATTATAGTGAACATTAAAATTTTTTTGAGAACATTAAAAACTTAAATTAAGCTCTTTTGAGTGCATGTAGATCATTTACTGAATTATCAGTCAAATCCGCCCATATGACCAACTAATCAACTTTAAGCGGCCTTATATGGAATTAAAAAAAAAAAAAAAGAATTATTAAATTTGATTAGTAGTTGTTGAAATATTTAAGTTTAAGAAAACTTTTGCTTAGAAAAAATCTGTCCCTTTTCTATCCCTCCAAATGCTAAAATCTTAATTTTTTAATATCTAACTTCTTTAATAATAGCATTTATTCATGTAATATATTTATTATAAAGTCGAATTTATATTCGGAGACTTTTTTGTATTTCTTGATAGTCTTTTTATAAAGTGAGTACAAACTAAACACATCAAACATGTGTAAGTATTCAAACAAAAATTTAATATTGAATGTGTCGTTATTATTGAAACGAGTATATCGAGTTTAGCGTTCGTACACAAAGCTTGGTTTTGATTCGGTATAGTAACCTTATGACATAATGATCTATTTTCTTGATTGATTCTCATGACATAATGATCTACTTTCTTGATTGATTTTCATGACATAATGATCTACATTTTTGTTATTAACTTGCCCTATAAAAATGATCGTATAATATATATATATATTTGTATAATATTTGTTTTACGTAAATGTGTGAAAATATCAAAAAAAAATACCATTCTGTCTATTCAACACGAATATAATACGTACAAATTTCACACAATCCCTTTTATAGAGTTGTCCGAAAGCGGAGCTATACACCCAATGCATGTGTTAACAAATTCTGAATTTTGTATTTGTAACATAGATCATTTTTTTAATTTTGATGTGTTGAGTTTTATTTAAAATGTATAAAGTTTCTATTTTATATTTAATCAGAATATTTTATTATCAATAATTGGTATTACACTAATCATCTCTAATTATTAGTCGGAACGGGATTGCAGACCACCTATATATGCAATTTTTAGTTACAATACTGTTAAACCTTTCATTTATTCATATCGATTTAGTGACCTATATATTTTGTACACGATTTACAAACCAAGTCAGTTGATAAAATCACAATACGATACTCTCTATAATAAATGAATAATTTTCAAGATTAGGTCATAATGCTAAATCTAATCAAAAGCTTTTGTAAGAATTAGCATATATTATTATAAATATCGTTGTCTACTTTCCTGATTTTAGTGCGATAGCATCGCTTATAAATGATAAAATTATCTTACATGTAAAAATATACACTGAAATCAATAACTTAATTGTAAATCATTATGAAATTGGAGATTTTCGCCTATATTATCGGTGTGACGTCCAGTGGGAGAGTCTTTCTATATCACTACCAATTTAACTCAGGGTCGTCAACATTAAAAAGAAGAGAGCAGGTATTTATTGTCTATTTTCAGGTATCCAAAGTACTAAACCAATATCCTTTATTGTGTCCCAGACACTAAATTAACCAATATCTTTATCCAACTAACCAACCTAGTACGTTCCCAACGCACTAAAATCCAACTCAAATACCAAAAAGACTTACTAAAAGACTGACTAAAAAAAACTTACTAAAAGACTAGACTTAAGGGTAGACCGTATTATATAATTAAATTTCTATTATCCCTTAATCCGTTTTTGAAGCAAATTTGCCCCAAATTTCTGATTCCTGGCAAATTTTCTGTACTACCTCAAAAATTTATTAATAATAGCCCCCCATTGCTTGTATCACAATATACGCATACATCACTGTAACACTTAAGTTGATATATCTTTACTGTAGATGATAATAGTAAGATTTAATAAACATCTAAAAATTATTTTTTA